GGTGTTCAAGGAGCGTTTGGACGTTGTGTTGAGGGGTATGGTTTAGTAGGAGCTATTGGTGATAGGTGAAGGATTGGACTGGGTGATCCTGTGGGTTTTCTCCAACCTTGGTAATTCTTTGATTCTATGAACTGTCTGGCAGAGCTCAGACCTCAGGTGCTCCCTGGGATTAGTGCTGGGTTTGATCAACATCTTCATCAGTGACTTTAATGAGGGGATAGTGCCGATGGTAAGAGGCTGGGAGGAATGGCTGACACACCTGAAGGCTGTGCTGCCATTCAGGGAGTCTTGGACAGACTGGAGAGCTGGGCAGAGAAAAACTACATGGGGTTTAAGAATATTGCACCTGGGGAGGTGTCCATGTCTGGAACCCCCAGTACAAGAAAGGGCTGTTGGAGAGGGTCCAGAGGAGGCCACAAAGATAATGAAAGGGCTGTAACACCTCCCCAGTGGAGACAGGCTGAGGGAGCTGGGCTCGTTCAGCCTGGAGAAAAAAAGGAATATCAGCTCCAGAAAATGTCTCAGATGATGAATGCATTCTGAGTTTACAAAGATGATCAGGGGGATGCAGCAGCTCCCCTATGAAGACAGGCTGAGGGAGCTGGGCTTGTTCAGCCTGGAGAAAAAAAGGCTGTGGGGTGACCTCAGTGCAGCCTGCAGTACCTAAAGGGAGCCTAAAACAGGAGGGGAATCAACTCTTGGAAAGGGGAGATAACAGCAGGATGAGGGGAAATGGTTTGAAGTTGAGGGAGGGGAGATTGAGGTTGGATGTCAGGGGGAAGTTCTTTGCTATGAGAGTGGTGAGGTGCTGGAACAGCTGCCCAGAGAGGCTGTGATGCCCCGTCCATCCTTGGAGGTGTTCAAGGCCGGGTTGGATGGGGCCCTGGGCAGCCTGGGCTGGTATTGAATGTGGAGGTTGGTGGCCCTGAGTGTAACAGACTCGATGACCTCTAGCGGTCCCTTCCAGGCCCTGCAATTCTGTGATCTCTTGAAGCAGCTGAATCGTGGGGTTTGTGCTTAGCTCGTACCTAACTAAGCTGACAGCAGAGGCAGTCATGCTGTAATTTATGGTTTTTTTGGTCAAAACTTTTCTGTCTGTGTTTTAAACTATAGTACTCTCGCTTTTAACAGTTTTTTACAGGTTGGTGGATAATCATAGATGCAGCTGTAAAGTACCCTACCATGGAAGACTTCAACCATTCATATCATGCCTGTGGGGTCATAGCCACCATTGCATTCCTAATGTGAGTGTAACGTCTTGATCAGAGCTGTGCACACCTAGAAATCTGGTGGAATTCAGAATTTTTTTTAAAATGTACTCTTTAAATCAGGAGGTAACTGAAAAGAACAAGCCAGGGTCTGAGTGTTGCTAATATAGAATGGTTTGGGTTGAAGGGGTTCTAACAATCACCTAGGTCCAACCCCCCACCATAAGCTGGGACACTTCTGAGCAGGCTGCCTAAGGCTCCATGCAGTCTGGCCTTGGGCGCTGCCTCTGTGCACCCACAGCTCTGGGCTGCAGTGCTCAGCCTCATTGCCCACTGAGTGATAACATTTCTTCCTAACGTCTCATTCAAATCTCCTCTTTTAGCTTAAAACCATTCCCCTTTATCCTATTCCTGCACTCAGTGAAAGGGGGTTCCTTCCTTTCTTATGATGGGGGCCCCAGAGCTGAATGCAGCACTGCATGTGGTCTCGTGAGAGCAGAGCAGAAGGGGAGGACCTCCTCCCTCGAGCTGCTGGTCATGCTTCATTCGATGCAGCCTAGGATCACGTGCCTTGCATCTGTCTGTGGTGAGGAGCCATTAGCAATGGAGTAGCACACAGATCAAAGCATTAAAAGTGGAGCAGTGCATTGAAGTTTTAGCATCGTTCCACAGTCTGAGCAATAAAATACATCTAAGAAATGCAGTACAGCCTAAATGAGTTTCTGAGAAGTTTCTCCTCCCGTTCTATGAACATTTTCCTTCTTGCTTTATTTATCTTTCCCCTTTTTCATCCTGTTTGTCACATTCAGGATCAACGCAGTGTCTAACGGACAAGTGCGGGGCGACAGCTACAGCGAGGGCTGCCTGGGACAGACAGGTAAGAGGTGTGCAGTCAGCAACCCTTGGAAGAGCTGTGATGCTGCACCAGCTGTGCACTGCTTTATGTGCACAGCATAAGTGGGTCACATCAGGTGCTCTGAAACTGAAACACCTGGAAAGCTGCTGGTGTCTCACCCAGGGACAGGCACAGAACCTCCTGTGTGTCTTTTTTAAGGTGCTCGGATCTGGCTCTTCATTGGCTTTATGATGGCTTTTGGCTCTCTGATTGCTTCCATGTGGATTCTGTTTGGAGGATACGTCGTTAAAGGTAAAATGTGACATGAAGTGTGGCCTGACCCTGTCTAGTTCTTCCCTATCCATTTTTTTTTTTCTTTTTTCTAACATATGGGGAATTTTAAGATCCCGTTTCTGTTATTTAAGCTCATGTCAGCCTGTTTTGTAGGGCACAAACCTTCCAGTTAGCCTTAGTAGAAACAGCTGAGTCACACAGGGGACTGCACTGAAATAATTGAACTGCTTACATTATATAGGAAGAATTCTCAGCAAACACCTCTTTCCAGAATTAAGGTGACTCATTTTGTGCAGGTTGTTCCCCAGGCCTATACATTAAGCCAGCAAACTGCTTGTAGAACTGCTCACCTTCCTTTATACCGTGGTGATTTTACGAAGACAAATCTTGAGAAAGTCATACAAACTGCAGCATTCCTCTTGGCAGGGACACATCAGCAGACATGAAGCTGTTGCTCAGCCCTGGCAGTGAATTTCATGCTCATTAGGGCACAGTGGTTGGGTTCTAATTTATGTTCTCTTTAGTCTTGGCATTACTCAGGTGACGGGGGATTTTCAGGGACACCTGGGCACACTGATTTCATGCCAGTGCTCCGTTCTGTGGCTCATCATCACTGCAATCTGGGTGTGCAATCCCACACGGTAACGACAGCCTGCATGAGCTGAGATCTGAGTGACATCTTTGATTGTTGCTTCAGTTCTTTGGAAAGCTGAATAAGTGAGGGGGAGGCACAAAAGCCATTGAAATTACTTTGCAGCGGGGGCAACAGATGGGAGGGAACCAACTTGTCAGAGGATGAAACGGATGCAAAAGATGCAGAGTGCTCTGTTAATTCTATGAGAGAACAACCCATCTGAGGGCAGATCTGTTCTGAGGCAGCAGCTGGACCCTGTTGTGAGATGGGGTCTCTTTGAAGAGAAAAGGACTTGTGAAAAATTCAGAGTGTTTTGTTCTGTTTGCCTTTAGAGAAAACAGTCGTGTACCCAGGAATTGCTGTTTTTTTCCAGAATGCATTCATCTTTTTCGGGTAAGCTTCTCATCCTTTGTTCATTTCTTACCTAATTGGTTTTGAATGATCAAAACCAAAGCTTGCTGCAGTCTGGGTTTTATTTCAGCTCTATTTCTTTGCAGCTAGATGTGGGTGAATACAGTGCAGCTGAGGGCACTCGCTGATCTGCCTGCACGGGTTTTGTTGCAGGAGCAGGCCGTGGGTTCACAAATACACAACTTGCTCCCACAAATAACGTATTGAAAACATGAGTTGGTGTTTAATCTGCCCCCTGAGGTGCTCACGTGCCTTTCTTGTTTCAAACAGAGGACTGGTCTTCAAATTTGGCCGCACAGAGGACCTGTGGCAGTGAGCCCACGCTGATGGAAGCGCATTGGCCGTGTCACTTTTTTAACTCTGTATTCTGGAAATTTTGTAAAGCCATTTTGTATACGGTGCCCTTCAACGGTGTCTAAAGGTAAAACGTGGAGAAGTGAAATCACAGCACCACAAATCCTGGTTGTATTTTTTTTTTTTAAAGGAAAAAACCCTGAAAACAGTTATATTGATTTCAGTGTTGTAATGTTTCTGACCTGTAAAACTGCTACAAGTAGCAATGGAAGTCACTTTTGTATGATGTTTGCTATAAGAAAATAGAATAGTGGAAGATTAATGCATTTAACCATTTCACACTTTCTATGATATTTACAACCCAAGTCCTACTTGCTTTACAACCAATTTTTAACATATATTTATTAAGTATTTCCTATATCTGGACAATATAAACAGTTCTTTACTTTCAAATCTGACTGGTTTGTGTTTTTTCCTGCATTAAGCTGTGCTGCTTTGGACCTTGTTTTTCCCTGAGTGTTTAACACAATGATGGTGAGGGCAGTGAACAACTCACTGCTGCTCAGACACTGCAGAGGCACAGGTTCAAGTTCTGTCCTGGTTCTGGCTGTAAGGAGCTCATCCACAAAGCCTGCTGTAAACTTAATTCCTAACCACAATAAAAGGAAGGAAGAACACTCCTCAGCTGGGAGTTAAACCAGGGACAGGCCCTGCAAGAGAGATTTCTGATCTGTATTCATTTGAACTCTGAGATACAAGAGGAGCTGTTTTGCCCCATCCTCTACGCACAGCTTGGTTACTTGCTCAAGAAATCAGGGAGCAAAGAGATGTGAGAGAAACAGAGGAATGAAATACTGTTCCTTACCACCACTCCTGCTGGAAGACAGCAGAAGCACGGAAGAAGTCTTTGTGTCTTTATGTTCAGTGGGTTGCTGGAACGTGAGGAACTGAAGGTCACAAGTTCAGCCTGGATTACAGTACTGCCAGGGCAGTGATGTGCTAAATGTGTGATAAGGAGGCACATAAAGGTGTAGGCAGCTCTGCTGAATGAACTGTCAGCTGGTAAAAGCTGCATGCAGCTGATAAATAAGTAGATGGCTGGCTGTTTTGTGAAATAAGAAACAGTGACACTTCCTCTACAAGTACCTGGAACTCTGTCTCAGCTTCCTTTAATTGCAGAACTGCTTTGTTTATTCCCTAATGAACAAATTAGATGTCAGCAGACGTTGCAGCGAGCATCAAATACTCCCCCTCTTGTTTTCAGTGTTACAGTTTGCCTCATTCCTTCATTTTTAAGCAAGTGTGATGAGTAAATAAAAACAGCCAAGGTTCCACTTCTTTAATTATGTAAGCAGTTAAAGAAAAAAACGTCAACTATTTTGAAATGAAGAAAAAGCTCAGGAGCACCATGCATTTACAAACACGTCTGCACTGCATCCCCTGACTGAGCAGGCCGTGCCTCGTGCACAGAGCCCTGCAGGTAGGAGCACTCTACAAGCAATATCTGCTTTTGTTCATTCAAATCAAGGTGAGGCCTTTAGCTGGCAGTGTTTAAGGAATCGTTTCCAGATCTTCCAGGCTGGCCACCCCCCAGCACAAACCCAAGTTCTGCTCGTCATTTCTTGCCATCAGATCTTCCAAATCTTGGCTGAGCCAAGAGCAGATTTGTCTGGTGACACGATTCCAGCCTGGCACAGTGTGGAGTTCTGGCTCAGCCATCAAAACAAGGCCTTCAGCAGAACTTCATTGAACTTACAAACAAGAACTTCAGCACTTCTAGAATAAATGCATGCTGCACAGATTGGGACTTTTAAACTTCAGAACTAAATACAGCTTTAAAAGTTTCCAAGCATTTTAATGGATAAGCCACGACAGCAGCTTTCTGTACACATCCTACAAAAATATTTAAGGTAAAATGATCAAAACAGAAAAGAAAACGTGTTGTAATTCTCCATCTGTGAATATATGTGCTGATTGTTCAGAAATAATGGACGTTTTGTTGCAAATTCTTCACGTGTCCATTGGGAAGGCTTTTCTAAGTGTGCTAATAGTGAAGTGCTGTTTCATCGTAGCTACTCATTTTCTCTAATGACAAATACAGATCTTGGTCAAGTTTTCCATTTAGGTTCATCCATTCAAAATCCAACAGCCAGATGAGGAAACTGTGAATACAGACATTCTTGTATCAGAACATTTTATCAATCAACATCAAATCAACGCATGGAGGAGGCGATGCAGAACCTTATTCCAAATTCCATGGTTCTTAGAGGATCACATTCAGCACCTAAATGTGCACAAGCTCTGTGTTCATGCACTCAACGCCCAGTGAAGGCCAGGAGTTTTCATAGAAAGAACCTTCCGTCCACAGAACTGCCTGGTAAAAATCCTGCTCTTTGACATCCCATTAATGGGATGAGGTTCAACAAGGCCAAATGCCGGGTCCTGCACTTGGGCCACAACAACCCCAGGCGATGCTGCAGGCTTGGGGCGGTGTGGCTGGAGGACGGCGTAGAGGAAATGGACCTGGGGGTATTGATTGATGCTCGGCTGAACAGGAGCCAACAGTGTGCCCAGGTGGCCAAGAAGGCCAATGGCAGCCTGGCCTGCATCAGAAACAGCGTTGCAAGCAGGAGCAGAGAGGTGATTGTTCCCCTGTATTCAGCACTGGTGAGGCTGCACCTCCAGTACTGTGTCCAGTTTTGGGCCCCTCACTGCAAGAAAGATATTGAGGCCCTGGAACGTGTTCAAAGGGGGGCAACAAGGCTGGTGAGGGGTCTGGAACACAGGGCTGATGAAGAGAGGCTGAAGGAGCTGGGAATGTTCAGCCTGGAGAAGAGGAGCTCAGGGGAGACCTCATTGCTCTCTATGGCTGCCTGAAGGGAGGTTGGAGGGAGCTGGGGCTCTGCTCTCGTGTCATCAGTGATAGGACCAGGGGGAATGGTTTCAAGCTACGGCAGGGGAGATTCAGGCTGGACATGAGGAAGTATTACTTTTCAGAAAGGGTGGTCAGGCACTGCAATGGATGCCCAGGGAGGTGGTGGAGTCACTGAACCTGGGGGTGTTCAAGGAAAGGCTGGATGTTGTGTTGAGGGACATGGTTTAGTGGGAGCTGTTGGGAATACGGTTGGACTGGATGAGCTTTTAGGTCTTTTCCAACCTTGGTAATTTTCTATGATTCCAAAGGACCATCTATGAAGCACAGGATGTCTGAGCACAGATGTTGTGTGTCACAACAGAGATCACAGCTTTAGCCACGTGCCCACCACCAGCAATGCTATCTGAAGAACACTTCTATTTTACTCAGGCTTCAGACAGCTGAACAAACGGGGCATTAAAACGTACCCTGAAATAGCTGCTGTGTGCACTGCCACGTGGTTAACCTTACACTGAAAGGAAACTTACCTCCCAGTACATCTGGTCTTCAAAATACTTGGAGACAGGGATGGGCTTCAGCAGTTTGAGGTTTAGGATTAAACCTGGTTGTAAAAACACATACACTGGATATACCTCTACACGTGTCATGGAAAGAGAAAGGCTGTGTAACTTCTTGGTAACACACATCCAAATGGAACACAGACTAAAACACAACATCAGGACAGAACACTTCAGCAAAGCCCTGTGACTCAAGTTGACCTTAAGTATGGAGAAGCTTATAGGTAAAAACCCATTAAACAGCCTCCCAGATTCTAAGGATACATGGGAAGTCTTTAACTTCTCACATGAAAGCAGACAGGCTTAGCAGCACTGTTAGTTTGGGTTCTCAGTACGTGGAACCACTGAATGATTGTTGTAGTTGATTGTTTTTTAAAGAACTCATTAGCTCTTACCTACCCTTGAGCTAATGCAAAATTGCAATCGATTAAAGCATTTTATAAGATCGTTTCAGAGTATATTTTACAGCAGCTTTCACCTCAAACCAGAATTAGCAGCTTTAGAACAACTGCAGCTGCCATAAAACCTACAGTATGTCATGTGAGGAGCACGTGAGCCTTGATGATCCCAAACCCCAGCAACCAGAGGAGCTGGGTCTGCCTCTTGCAAGCTGCTGACGTGAGTGGAAGTCTGCAGATTTGCAGCAACTGGCCTAAAAAATGAGAAGCTCCAGGTAGCATTTTTCTGTCACCAAGACAACACCAAAACATAAATGTACTTTCATCCTCACACATCTCATGTCTGTAATCTGAAGGCAGCTGGTAAACATCTGCAAAACACATTTCACCAATGAAAAAATGTTGCAGGTAGGTTATGTTGACTACATCTCTTCTTCAGAGCCTATCCAGGAAGAGTTCTGGGTGCTCATGCTTCCAGCTGTTTCTCCTACATAAATCCCTATCCACAGCAGCACACATTAGCACCTCAGTTACACCGGTGTCTTTTTGCAAGGGACACTGACACACAACAGCTGCAATGGGAAGACACAGCCCCTGCCCCAAAGCAAAATGTGGAAGATGTTACTGAAACGTGGTTTTCCTGCTTACCTGTAATCAGACCCGTTATCAGGGCAGCACTGATGGTGAAGCAGAAGGCACCGATGCTCATTGCGACCTCGTGGCCAATGCTGAAAGCAAAACAAGTGTTTCCCCTTTGACAGTTGCTGGCTCTAACGTTCAGCCTGTGGATGTGTCTGCCCCAAGTGGTCCCTGTGCACGGACCTCCTGTCAAAACCTCACATCACAATCACCATTTTCAACCCTTTATGCAGCTGCAGTTGGATGCTTTAAGAGAGCTGAGCAGAAGCCTACAACCATGTTGCACTGTGATTCATTCCTGTGTAAGCTGAGAGAACCAGAGAACTTCTGTGATACAACATGGGCTTGATTTGATCCATGAAATCCTATGGAGAACCACCCTTCAGTGAGCCCTTTGTGTGGTGTTTCCCCAAGCATATTTCCAGTTGGGGGTCCAGACTGGTGTTAGCCCTTGCCTGTATGTTAAAGACTTTGGGATAAAATTCATCTTTTTTTCCCTCCCTTGCTGTAACAGTATGCAAAGCTTTCCCAAAACACCTGGGAAGGAGGCATTTTCCCAGCCTTCATCTCCTCTGTACACTGCTCTGAAGATAAAGGACCAAATTTAGGACTGAAACCTAACATGATTTATCTGTGAAGACTTGCAAGCCTTCTGTATTTATGAGAATTCCACTCAGGGCACCCTCCAGTAATGATCAGATAAACTTATTACACCTAAGGGCAAACATTTATGTACCTTGGTGATTTAGTCTGGATTTCCAGCACACAGAAAAGAACTCGGGCAAGAGCTCCAAACACAGCAGGCAAACCAAACGTGAAATGAACCCCAGATGCATCATGAATCTTGAGAGTAGGGTTCAAGCAACTCTGGGAAGAGGGAAAACATGAAGTGATACACAAGAACACAAGCTGATAACTGGACACTGTCTATTTAGAGTTAGGAAATTAACTTTGGACTCTTAACTTGCAATCCCACACCTTGGTCAAGACTTCAGGTTTAATCTTCTCAAAAAAGAGGTTTACCTTGAGGTATGTCACACTGGAAAATAAGTTTACAGAACTTCTACAAAAAGGAATTTCAGGCTTTGAGTGTTACCTGTAAACAGAAAGATCCTAGCGTGCTTATCACACCAGCAAGGAGACCCAAAATCATTGCAATCCAGGGATACTCGATAATGTCTGCTGCATAACCAATAGCAACCCCACCAGCCAGTGCTGCACTATGGATATGAGTCTGTAAAACAAAGTAGCACAGAGAAAATTCAGTCATTGTTGTGTAACAGCACATTAGGGGATGTGGGCTTCTGCATACTGTAAGCTACCATCAGAGAACACCATTTCTAACTTACAGTTTCTTCTGCTTGGCAGCCTAATGATGACTGCCACGCTGAAAACTCAGATTTGCTTTTATTGAATAGCTATTTTACCCTGCAACGTATTACTGAGAGTAACAGAATGTCTTACCATCCTGAATTTTCCATCCTTTGTGATCAGACCAGACAACGCAAAGGCAGTTACAGCACTCACTGCAAGTGCTAAGTAGGTGTTAAAGATCAACTTATTCTTTTCTGGAGCCAGTACAGAATTGAAGCTTGGCCAGAACACCCACAGAAAGAGAGTGCCTTGGAGACAAAGACAAGCAATTGTTATTACCTGCTCTCAAACAGGTATATCTACCATAGGCTGTCTCTGGACGCTTCCAACCCACATTTCTGCATTCATTTCAACTTCCTCACTCTGACCAAAGAGTAATTCCTGTCCTCTGCAGTGCAGACAGCCTGAGAGCTGGCTGCTGTCCCAACATCTTCCCCAGAAACGTGGTACTGCACACAGCACTGCAGTGTCATACGGACAGCAGATCACGGGCCTGCCTGTATCCTGTTCCCCACCTTTCAGCAGGTTTTTATCTTACCACTCACAGGATTAGGCAGGGACTGCATTTCCATATCACTGTGCAGCACCTTGATGTAGCAAACAGCATTTCAGCCCCAGATAGGGACTCTAAGCACTACTGAAATACAAGTCATAATCTTGGCACATGGATCCCTGACCAAAACGTCCACACAAGCCCCAAAGAGAGAGGGATTAATTGAGAGAGGGCAGCAGTGAACCTGCACTTATGCTTTCCTCCTGCTCTCACTGCAATCTCTTCTCCCAGCATTAAACCAAATGCCTCACCCAACATTGACAGTAAGTCCGATTTTGAAGTACTTGCATTCTTCTCAGCCCTCGGTGATGGCTCAGGGAAACGTGAGGAGACAGCCAGGCCAAAGTAGGCCCCAAACAGGTGAACGTGCATCATGCATACATGGTATGAAACCTGCATCAGTAGAGTAATTAAATTTGTAATCAATAATGTGCCACATTATGATTATGTGCCACATAACCAATCATGTGCCACAGGAAACTTTGACACAGATGCTGATATAGTTCACTCATGCAACCTCCCTGTGAAGAATTTGTCAAAACAGTCACTTGGTTTATAACTTAAGCGTGGGTTTTTAATGCCACGTTAATTTATCTGAGCTCACTGTAGCTCATAACCAGTTCATCCACAAAGAGCTCGGAGCACATTTACACTGTGTGTTAAACGCAGCTCTGCCTCTGCTGTGCACAGTGTGCTCGTGTATCAGTCAGTGGAAACAGCAGTGTTTCCAAAGGCTCTGTGAAACTTTCCCTCCTGTTTCTGGAAATGATACTGCTGTACCTTCAGGACGTGCATGTTGATCCATCTGCTCATACGGAAAACTATTATCTCCACAACTGTCATCACGATGGATTGCATGGGATTGATCTTCCCAAGAACAGCTCCAATGGAGATGACCACAGCAACCACGCTCATAGCAGCTCCCGTTATTCTGTAACGAAAGGAAGGAAAGAAGAAAACAAAATACAATTCCATGTCAGGATCATATTCAGGCAAAGAAGAAAGAACAACTGACAGCAAAATGCACTTAACCCTCCAAAAAGTCTGCAACGACCATGCTGATTCACTGCAGCCAGGCATTACACCAGAATAAAAGCCATCAGCAGCTCCAGTGATTCCAATTCTAACAAGAACTAATTACCTGAACACATCTTCCACTGTTCTTTCTGTTGGGAAAACTGATACATTTTCCATCAGAATGGAGCACTGGACACCAAGCACGATGATCAGGAGGTTGAATCCCACACTGCTAAACCCGTATCGTTTCAAAAACGTCAGGAAAAAGCCAAATCCAAAAATGAGCATGTGGCTGACATCCTGCAAATCTGCGTGGCAGAAAAGAGCAGAAGAGCAGTGAAGTGATTCCAGCAGACTGGTTTTAAAAAATGACAATTAACTAAGAAATCTTTCTATTAAACACTGGGCACCATTATGAACTAGTTTTAAAGAAACCCAGAGGTTGCTCTCTCTTCCATAAGGAAACAGAAAGACCATACCGTACTCAAAATTGGTTTTACAGTTGTTTCATGTGCTGGGACCTCACCAGAGTTCTGCACTCAGAGCGCTGCCTGTCCTCAGAAGTTTCCACTTATACACGTGGAGACAGCAGAAAACAGATGAGCAATGCAATTTGTATCACGTATGACTTTGTTGACTGCCTTTGCTTTCACATAAATAATGACGAAGAATACAAGCAGGGCAGCAGAAGGGCAGCACAAACGTTCTCCTTCTCACTCACCAGCACACAAAACCATCCATCCCAACTCTACTGCAATGCAAAATAAAAATCCTTCCTTTCACGGCAAGGTGAGCAGTCTTACCTGTGTAGTAAAGTAATGCATACTGGTCTGAGAACAGAAAATAAACGAGGACGATGAAGACAGCTTCCAGAGAAAGGATCAGCCACGGCACGCTGCATCGGAAGCTGAGGTAAGTAGAAGACATTGTGCACCAGATGATACTTAGGCACAAACACTTTAATACTGTCTTCTATAAACAATGTTTGTGTCACCTCAAACCAACAGTTAAGGAGGGGGAGGGGGAATAAAAGAGAGATAAAAAACCCGAGAGGCATCGGCAACGAATGTTCCTTATCTGGTGCACGTCAGGAGCCCAAGCTTAGCTGACATGGACTAAACTCAGAAGTACCCACAAACAGAACCATACCAAACAGTCGATGTAATTCTGCAGGATGCCATCCCCACGGTGCTCCAGCTGCTTGGCTCCTCACGTATCAGCTGAACGGCAAGAAAAGCATGCAGACATGCAGACTCACAGCAGTGGGATGCTGAAGCTCACGCAATATCATTATTCCTTCATATTGCTTGTAATTCAGACTGTAATCCAGACCCGAGCCCCTCCACCACTACCTCAGGAAATGCCCAGCTGAGATTCCGGTTGTGTTTTCAGCTGCGTTAGGCTCCAACACAACACCTGCATCCCGCTGGGTAACCCCAGACACACTGCAGCCTTTTAACTGAGAACCAACCTGATCGCTTCAGACCTGACCTGCATTCAGAAACGCATCACCTTCCATTGCCACACCGTGGCTATAAGGCACCCAACTTGTGGGTTCTCAGCCTTTGGGTTGGCACATGTTTTTTCTTTAAATAAGCAGCCACCAAAGCGAACATTTGGGGCACACAAGCAGGGCTACATGGCAGAAGCTGTTATATCCCATGGAAAATCTGCTTACAGCTCCTTTTTGGGGAGATATGGTGACTGTGTTGGGCAACTCAGATGTTGCTCAATGTCAGCTGAGCTGCTTTGGAACACCTATAAGGTGCAAACAGAGCTGGTGGACACAGTGACTGCCTGTGCTCCATCTCCCATCTGCAGTACAACCACCTGGGAACCACACTGAGGATTCAGAACTACAGCCGCCATTCTGCATGAGTTAAATAAGCAAAATCACCCTTTTTTTTTTTTTTCCCTTTCTTTTTTGACATTTGTGACCAAGTCTCCTGGCAGCACGAACACTCTGACGGAACGCATGCCGAAGGCTGTAACGTCGCCCGTGCCTTTTTGCACAGGACACCCCCGGGATCCTCCTGTCCCGCTGTAAATGCTGATTCTGGGCTTTTTGCCTCAAATCCCCCCATGAACCGAACAGGCTTTAACGCCACAGGAGGGCCGCGCTCCTCAGCCCGGGCCCATCCATCACAGTGCGAACGCTCAGGGCCCGCACGCGGCCCATGCAGAGGGGAAGAAGCCAGGCGCGGTTCGAAGCCCCGCTCGCACTCCGCTTTGCCACGCAGCCCCGCGCGACTACAGCACGAACTGCGGGCGGGGCCGCCGGTGACAAGGCAGGTCTAACCGGAAGGGGCGGAGACAACGGAAGTTCCGCTCCACCTCTGCTTCCCATTGGCTGAGCGCCCCCACCCACCCACAGGCCCTGCCTTAGGGACGGGTTTCCCATTGGCCGAAAGCTAGCAGCTTTCCTGGGCTCTGATTGGTCCTCCAAATACCGTCCGTCTTTGGACCGATCGGAGACAGGACGGCCGCGTTGCCCCGCCCCTTCCTGCCCCGCCATTGGGCCGCTCTCCTGCCACTCCCCTGAATGTGTTTCTTTGCTGCAGTCGCTCCGCTGTTTGCTTTTCGGGTTTTTTTTTTTCTCCCTTCTCCTTCCCGAAATTCTGCGAGGCGTCGGGACAAGGCTGCGTTGTTGCGGAACAACAGCGCACCCCGAGGATTACGATAGTGATTTGTCAGCGAGGTTGTCAATCAAGTCTGAGGGGCGGCCCTTCAGAGTTACGGTGACAGAGGAAATTAAGCCCTCCTTTTTCCGCTTCCGAATGGATAGCTGAGCTGTCCTTTGAGTTTTCCTCCTCTCTCCCATTGGGCAGCCTTGCTGTCAATCACAGCACGGGACGGGAACCAGCAGACGGACAGTAGGCGGGAGGAGAGCAAGAACTGCTTAGCGATTGGTTGAAGAGCCGTCAATTCACAATCCCTATTCTGCGATGGGCTCTCGTGGCCGTCAATCAAGCGCGTGGGCAGGCCGTTCGATGACGCGGGGCGGGACCAACCGTACAGCATTCTCATAGGCCTTCTTGGCCGTTCGTCTGCCTTTTTCCGCCGTCGATTGGTCGAGAGAGCCGTCATTCTTGCGTCAGCACCGTTCGATTGGACAGCGTCGGGGAGGGCAGGTCGTTGCGCGGCGGCTGCGCGGGGGGACGCGGCGGGGAGGGACCGACCAGGAATTATTTTTATTTCTTTGTTTCCCGGGGTTATTAAAATAAAAACAAGTCATAAAAAAAGAGAAAAAAAAAAAAAAGGGGAGGGGGGAGAATTAAAAAAAAAGACAGAAAAAAAAAAACAAAAAGAAAAACGACGGCAGCCGCGCAGCGCGAGGAACCCGAGGGCCGCATGGTGCTGCCGTGAGCGGGGCGGCGCGGGGCCGGGAGGCGGCGGGAGGATGAAGCGGCGGAGCGCGGACTGCAGCAAGCTGCGGCGGCCGCTCAAGCGGAACCGCATCGCCGAGGGCATCTACGGCAGGTAGCGAACGGCCGGGGGAGGGGAGGGAAAGGAGGAGTAGGGGGGGGGGGTAACGCCGGGAGCTCCGCGGCTCCCCGGCCCGGCCGCGCCCCGCCCCCGCCCTGACAGCGGGCCGAGCGACATGGCGACCGCCGCCCCGCAGCCGGACCGCACGTGGGGAGCGGGGAGAGCCGGCGGGCGAGGTGAGGCGAGGCGGGGCTCGGAAAGGAGGGCGCGGTGGGGGGGGGGGGGGCCCGGCTGAGCGCAGGTAACGGCGGTGGGGGGAAAGGTGACGGCAGTGCGGGCGGTGCGGTGATGTACGGGGGGAAATCAGCGCTCGGAAGGAGCGGCGGTGAGCCGGTAGGGCTGGTGGGGTG